GCCCGGCCCGGCATTGCAGCCCCCCTGGGCTGTCCCTCCCTCCTCCGCTCCATCCCTCCCTCCATCCCTCCCTGCAGCCCTCCTCCCCTGCCCGCCCCAGCCGGCCGCGGGAGGCGGGGGTGCCCGGTGCTGTTCCCCACGCTCACTGAGAGCAGGGTCTGCCCTGCTCCTTTGGAGGGGCCCTTTACATCGTTAGGGCTGCTGCCCCCGGAGGCCGGGCCGCGCTGAGGGGGCTGCTCCACCCCTCTCTGGTGTCTTCTGCCTCCCCTTTACCCCCCTGCTCCCTCCCCAGCACTGCTAGCTTTTGTGGCAGCACTAGATGTTGAGTTTCCCTCTGCCTCCCAACTCACCGTACATCCCCAGGGGTTTGAAGACCCTTGTGCTTTGTAGGGCGGTGGGAAATTTCCATCTCCTTTTCCCAATCCGTGAACTGGGCCTGTAGAAAACCCCGCAAATGGGGTAAAACTCACTGCACCCCTCAACTCACAGTGCCCTCTCTCCTCCTCCCAGCCCCGTCATCCCCAGGATGCAGCAGGGAACACAGCCCAGCTGCTCCCACCCGCAGGGGAGCCCCAGCCCACGTTAACATCCCCAAGGACAGCCTCAGCACAGTGTTTTGGGGGCTTTTCCATCCTCTTGGGTGAGGTCTGATGCTGTGCACTGAGCACAGCGTGTCCCTTTTGTCACCTCGGGGACCTGGCAGAGGGGACCTGGCCATAGCAAGGGCTCTGCAGCCACCTGCGTTTGCTGCGCTGGGCAGTACAGCAGCGCCCGGCCCTCCGCCACCAGCCTTTTCTGGGGTGCTGAGCCAGCCCCTGCCTGCACCCTAGAGATTTCACCACCTATTCCGTGATCCCCCGGAGAAGGGCCAGTGAGCAGCCCTGGGCCCGGGGCGCCCAGAGGGTGCTGGCTGCCTGCATGTGCCGCGGCCGCCTGCGTTGTGTCAGCACTCGGCAATGCTGTTTACACATGAGAGAGGCTCAGAGGCATCCGCGCCAGCAGCCAATTACCCAGTTTTGATCTTTTTTGGTGAAAAGGAAACCAGGGCTTTTCAGACATGGCCAAATTTGATAAACTGGGGGAGGCAGGGGCGGGTGTGGGCGGCTTTTCCCCACCGGCCTCGCATGAGGGAAGAGGCCGGGGTGCACGGACGGTTGGGTTGTGGCCAGCCCATGCCTGCCCGGCTGGGACGGCACAGCTGGCCGTCTGTGTGTGCCCGTGCCAGCCATGGTGCCACCCCTGCAGGAGCAGTGTGTGCTGGGGTCAGCCCCGTGGCGGGAGGCGAGGGAGTGGGTGGCTGGGAAGGGCTGGAAACCCCCGCACGGCTCCCCTGGGAGTGGGTTACCCGGAGGGGAGAAGGGACGTGCTTTCGGGTTTTGTTGTACGTGCTCATCCCTGCTACCTTCCCACTGCATTGCCCCACTGCCACGGGAAACTTGGGTGGAAAGCAGAGCCTGGAGAGTGGGAACAGGGCCCCAAACAAGACAGGAGGGGCCATGAAGGTAGGCTCTGCCTGCCCCAAGTAAACCCAGGTGCATATTTCCCAGGGTAACCATCATGGAACCGGCTGCCATGCCCCCAAGCCAAGCCTGAGCTC